ACGGCCACCCTGACAACGCGTCGCTAATTAGCCGGCTCGTAATCATTGGAACGATCAATCCTGAGTTTCACGACACACACCGACCACCGCCAGCGTCCGCAGAATTCTTGTTGAGGTTCCCGCATGAATCATGTCCGATTCGCTCTACAGATTTATGCACACGACAGAAATATAGTCCGTGAAAAAAATGATCCCCGAACTTGGCCTTTCGGCGAGTTACGTCGAGTATACTCGTCACGAACGGATGGCATATTTTTATTTATCGACGAGTATACTCGTCGTGAATATTCTCTCTCGCTTTCATTGTTTAAAGTAAAATTATGAAATTTAGTAATTGTACTATAGAAATATTACTTTTAGCCTTGACACATTTTTAAACAATGATGTTAATGTGCAAGGCTGATTTAAATTTTGTTTCACAGTTTCGCGTGAATAATTAAAATACGTGTACTTATAGTTTTCATAACTAGATCCATGCCTTGGTAAAATAACCCGGACCCCTAATGGAGGGTCGCTTTATTTAGTAACTCCGTATATATAAATTAATGACGATATCCGTGCATTATGAATATGTAAATGAAAGTTTGCTAAAATCACTTAAAGTTTATAGCAAATAAGTTTTACAGTAATTCCGACTGCCGAAACCTGAACGCGGTTGTCCAATAAATTGCAGAAATAATTTTGTCGAACACTCGCGTGATTTTTTTTAATTTCGTGACGTAGTACTAAGTGATTCGTGAAATATTTAATTAGCTCTCAAACTACCAACGTGCTAAAAGCAGTTCAGATTTGTTAGATCCTTGACATAACGTCGCTTATTCGAACTGTGACCACAATGAAACAATCTCGCATTTTTAACGAGTAGGCCGCGGATCTCACCGCGAAATAAAAATTATTTATCTCGATTGCAACAGGAGGAGTAAATAAAACTTTATTTACATTCTTAAGATTTTGAAGAGATCGGAAATAATGCAACAACGGGGCATCGTTAAATTTATTTCTTGCGTTTACCATTTCGTAATTCCACCGAATGATATCCGCCGCGAGCGCGTAAAATCTGCGGTCTACTAATAAGCAATATGCGCTTGTAACCCCCATCGCGCTCGAAAATTTCCGTAAAAACCGCGAGCCCCTGTACGCGCCGGCACTACATCAATATTATTTAAATTCCGGTCAATGTACAGAAAATTTTCGCCCAGCGAAACGCGGTTCCAGACATTCAATAAATCTCTATCCCATTCATTGCGCCGGTACACGCGTCCCCACAAAACAACTCGGCAGATTTACTCTCGGGCGCGAATATTTACAAAAGCCCGAGTTTCGAGAATGGGATCAGCCCTCTTTTTAATCGAATCTCCGGCAGACTACTCCAGCCCTCATTCCCGCACGATCGAACGAAATTAACGTTGCCGCGACCCCCTTTTATTTTAACCAGCGATCTACATATAATGCATTTCGGTATAACAGTCCCGTGCTGGCCCGATGAAATTCTTTAAAGGGCTCGAATCCACGCGGCGCGAGGCCCGTGAAATAAAACGCGGCGGAGCGATCCGTCGTGAAACCAATTCCAACCCAGGCTATAAAGGATCAATTATTCAACGCGTCCGCACGCTTACAGGGAACACACCGAAGGGACGGTCGCCGATTTCGATGCAACTTTTGTGGAATGTTCTCTACGCGTATCTTTTTCAAACGGGTATTCCCTTCCTATTTATAGAAGTTATCGAGAGTTCCCAGGCGTTTGTTATACAAAACCAAGTGGAGTTAAGGTAGAGAAGTCGATCACTGGTCACCCGCTGGTACGGTGGCCAGCATTAATTTCTCGCGAAAGGGATAGGTCTTCGAGATGACGCGTTATTATCCACGCGATTTAACCGATCTGTCCATACGCGAATAGAAGCGTTTCACTCGACTGATTAAACGGTTCCCATGCTGTATGCGCGCTCGCGTTGTTTTACAAACGAACGTTGACGCTTCAAAATCAACTCGTCACGATCATGCTCTCTGCCTGATACGGGGATGAAGGGCTGAAGAGGATCCGTGTACCGAGTACACGGAACTTGGTGTACGAAGTCGTAACAAGCCGGTATCTACGTGATCCTGGTGCGAGCGACACGTCGTCGCTGCGTTGTACGCGCCATTTTTGAGGATCACGGCCTTCTATTCAAGTGCACTTGGTCAAACTCGACTCTGAATCCTGTCACGAATTCTTTGTCGATGGAACCAGTCGAATGAAACTTCTAGCCAATATCCAGAGAATTTTTTTGCCGAGCGAAATAAACGGGAAAAACTGTCATATTCGCGAATTGTTTTATAGTAATTGTTCAATTGAATCGTTTCTGCAGTGAAAACTGCAGTATTCGGAGAATTTCCTCGAGTCATGTATCGATAACTCGAACGTGCTTATTTTTCAAGCACGAATACAAGTAAAACGTACAATTTTGCAAATAGAGATGCTCCAAAACAATATATTTGACTTAAATAGTTCTCATATATTGGAAAAATATTTTTGAAGGCGTGCGAATAAACCAAGCGATATGAAAAAAAGAGAAGAATAAAACTATTAAGAAATAAACAAAATGGAAGAATAACAAAATTTCATACGTCTTATTTGACGAACGTAAAGTTAATTATGCGTAACAACGAAGCGAAGACACAGAAATACGTCACCCCACAGCAACAGGCTCCGTTACCCTAATCGTAGCCCATTCATCGACTAATCCTCAGCGTCTCGACACTAGCGGCGCGAGGGGTCGCGCGGTTCTTCATCGTATTCGTCGCGTGGAAAATTGCGCGCGGACCGCGCGCGTTATGCAAAACTATAGAAAACTAATCATGAACATTCGCCGGCAGTCAGCTGCGTTCGGACAAAACCGACGGTAATGCACGGAAACTCGGCGGAATAATGGGCGAAGGGTTCACGACGTTCCCCGGATCGGTCGAGTGGATGTTGAAGCGGCGGCGTTGTTGCCACAAGAAACGGCCAGAAAGAAATCCCCGGCGCGGGTGATGTTCTCGAAAAGCTGTGGCGGCGCTCGTTGAAATGCAAGCTCTTTTATGACGCGCCACTGGGCTTACACGTGCGCGCCGCTCGTTAACTCGGCCATCAGTTTCACGCATGGCGCCGCAAAAAAGCATGACGACAGCACCAAACGTACCCGACTCCCCCACTGTTGACTTTCCCAACGCCCCTTTCTATTCCTTCCTTTTTTTTTCCACCACGATCCTGCAGCCGCTGTCCGTCCTTTCATTCCTGACTTTTCAATTTATACCCTTTTGCATTAGGTTTTCGCACACGCGGCTGCGAATCCGCGTCAATCCTTCGATCCCGAATTCGCAATTGTCCGGCTAGTCGGAGCGATTCGGTCGACAAACAAGGAAACGTTTAATATCGTGTCCATTGTACGCGACGACAAACGACGCAGAATTGATCGGAATTTGAAAAGACGTTCGACTACCTCGCTAGGAGGGACGGGGACAGCTGCGAGGCAGGATGCTGATCGTCGATGTTACATGATTTTCTATGGCGGATTGGGAAGATTTTTTTAAATAATTTTGACACTAGATTTATGGATGTTGATCGTATGTATACCTATTTTTAATGAAACGAGCCAATTTGACCCGTACAACAGAATCGAAGTTTTTTGCAAAAAAATAGTTGCAAATCAATTTAAATGAAAGATTTATTATCAGAAATTTCGTTGGAAGCATTTTTTACGCTATATTTCGAAGAAGACTTCTTCATTTTCAATTTCAGAATTAGAAATAAATCTGGGGCTTCGCTTCTCTAAAATTCAATTCTAATGGCTGCATGCAGTTCTAAATCCGATTCATTATCTGATTGGTTTTCCCTTACTTCAATTATTTTTTTTTTTAGCAAAAGAAGATTTCTCCGATTTTCTCCCATAATAGCAATGCTACGTAATTGGATCTAAAATAAATATCAATTGAAATACCCTTCGCAAATAAATAACGAAATTACCATGGCAGACCAAATTTTTGTTGCAAAACATTGAATTTACAAAATTATATTATTTCACTAAAAATCCTCTGTTCACACACGATATACATATAAATCGAAATGATGAATGACGTGGGTGCATAAGGTTTTTTCGGTCTCAGCTAACTAATAAATTGACAGGATAATATTTAATTTTAAAATATTGTTATTTTTTCCAATAAAAAATCGGGGTCACTTTAATTTTTTGAAATGACGTAAGAGTAAAAGACAAGTAAAAACAAGTGACATAAGTAAAAGTAATAAATAAGCAAAATGAATATGTAAAATAATAAATAAGTAGATAATATAAGCAAACTAAGCAAAGTAAAAAATGTGTCAAAGAAGATTACACATTCCAATACTGTTTCTAATAAAAGCAGATTTTCTGCTTAGTCGTGTTATCTATGCATAGATATATCCGCATTACTCGATGATCATAATCTGCGATTTTCGGAACCATTTCCTATTTAATGCTATTAATAATTTGCCATTAACGAATTATCAGACCGCAGATTGTACGTATTTATAAGAAGAATGCAGTCCACAAATTATTCTCGGTAGAAATTCTAAATACAACATCGCGAAACAATAGACTGAATATTTTGAAATTCATTGTCACATTTTCGTTTCGGATAATTAACGATTCCAGTTAGCGCGAGCGATGCATTGTCCGCGCGTGCATGTTAAATGGTTCGCAACACTAGATTTGAGTAATGAATAATTCACATTGTTGAAACTAGGAGAAGAATCCACTACAATCACCGCGTAATGTTTCAGTCTCGTTGAGAGAACCGCAGTCTAAACATACTCCGCCAATGAGTTGCGGCCACCGGGCAGCAGAATCGCGCGTGTGTAGATTCCAGAAGATGTATATTCTATAATACATACATAATGATCCCGCAGTGAACCACAATGCGTAAATGCGTTCGCGAACATCGACATCGATTCTCGTATTCGTGATAGGAAGACCCGTTGACAGGAAATGTCATCTTTGTTGCAGGGTTGCTGAGGCTACAGCAGATATATCAAGGCTTGAAACCGGGGAACGAGTCGTTTCAAGTGGAGACAGTCAAACGAATACAGAATATGTCCGAGGCGATCGATTTCTTGCGTAGCTTGGAAGAGCTTAATCGGTAAGTTTCGAACCAATTACTTTACCCGACGATTCCAAAGTGGGTAAAAGTCAAGGAGGATCTTCGATTTTATAGTTTACCAGATTGATGTTCTTCTTTACGCACTTTTAATCCTTCCAGCACCTAACATAACCACGCCGAAGTCATAATTTCTGTAGTAACAGATTTATGATAGGAAACGGAACACGTTGAACAGTCGTAACTAGACTGTAAATTTTTATGCAGAATAAAAAGTTTCCCTGTTATTTATGGGTTTTTAGTTTCGAGTTCTTCTATTTTGATCCTCCTTGCGCGACCGCTACATTATTATTCTTCCACTGTAACAAAGGGTTGCCCCGTCGATCAATCAAGTTATTATTAATTTTCTCTGCTACTTATTTTTTATTCTATTGTACCACTTTATTGTATCGCTTTTTTCTTTTCTCTTTTCGTTATGCTATTTCGTGCGACACATTGTCGGATTATTGTAACACAGAGACTGTTCTCTCGTCGATCGTTAAACCAATTATTACTACTATTACTATTACAATCGTAACATTTTCGAGAATCTTGTCTCAATCGCGAATCTCAAAATATTCGCCAACTCGATCCGATCCCGATAAAAATTCCCAACCCGTCCGGTCCCGACATTTCCAAGTTCTCGCGCATCTCTGACGGACGGAATTGAAAAAGGTGCGGGCACACAATGTTGTCGAAACAGGCGTGTTCGTTCAACACGATAGCGAAACGTTTCTACGGAAAGCGTCTCCTATGTGCTTCGACACCATGGTATTAGCGACTCTTTTTTTGGACGGCGAGTTCTATCCGCGTTCGTACAGTCTGACGGATCACGCTTTTGTGGGGGCACGAGTGGTCAGCGCATATCTCTGCTGCAATTTACCGCCGGCTACGTGTTTCCACGGCCCAGGTAATCAACAACCAGCGCTGACAATGAGCCCGAATTGAATGAACATTGTAGTTACCGAAAACAAAATGTAAACGTTGCAAATTGTCACCGCGAGTCGCGTCCCCGCTAGAACGTTACACGAATGCGTTACCAATTGGTTCTATGGACGTTTTTACACGAATTGACGCTAAACAATTTCAAAAAGGAATTAACGATCTTTTCGATTAACGTCTGTAAATAATTTACACGGGGGCTTGGTTAGAAGATATATTACTGTATCTTTAAAAAGCGTTTCACAAGCCTTTTAATTAAAGTTGCGTCGTTGCGTTACGTAAGTCTTTTAATTATTTTTAACTGTGCAGCTATTCGATGTCCGCTTATTACATTCTATGTTATCCTGCAAACGTCGATTTTTTAAATTATACGGTACGAGATTCAGTGAATAGACTTCACTTTAAAACGCATAAATGGAATTGCTATTTTATTTTATAGTTCACTTTTTAATACGAAACCTACGCCCCCGCCGATATTTTTATCTTAAAATTGTTGAAATTATGCGAACTCTTTCGTAGGAAGCGATTAAATAAATTTCTGGATTGCATCATACGTTATAAGAACAATAGCGAAATGCAGTATTGTTCTTCGTTAGTTTACTTTATGAGCTCGTTGGATTTAGTGTTTCACCTAAACTTTCATTACGAGAATACTCGAACAATTTCCATTTCTTCGTGACTGTACTAATCATTCACAGCCAACAGGTTAAGTAGGTTAAGTAGGTTAAGTTAACAGGTGGAGAGTTAACAAGTATTTCTTGATATTTATTTTTTGATGATATTTATTCCTTGATCACGATTAAGTATCTGAATATCTACGATCACGTTCTATGCAACAAATTAATGAATATTGAGAAATGAGTTTTAATTGTTCGCAGATGGAGCAATAAGTACGTAGTCCTCGACTGCCCCACCGACATGGCAAAGGATATCGTAGTGAACCACGTGAGAGACGTCACACTGGGAAAAAGAACGTATCACTATTTGCTGAGTGGACTGGTAAGTGCTCTTCGAGTGAATGAAATTCTCAAACTCGATCAATATCGACGACACGTTTGACTTTTGTAACGTGGTCCGAGAACCTGAGGGACAATTAGAGACGCTCGAGCGTGCTTGAAGCATCGTATGCGGACGATACACTCGCTGTTTCAAGTACCGATGTAAAAGCAAATATAAAATTATTGTTAACTGCTGTTCGATCGAAGAGGTTGCCATGAGAAATAGGCAGCTTCACTTCCGGTAATTTCGGTCGAATTAATCAAAATCAATTAAAAGTAAAATATATTCGTGTTATTTTTTTTTTAGTTTAAATTGAAATTGTTCAATTTATGTTCAAGCTAAATGTGTTTGTTAATTTTGGTTTAATTAAATCTTGAGGCACGGCCTTATGCTAATATTATCTTTCCACTTTCTGTGTAACGTATTGGAGAATTATATTGAAGTTGAGAACACAGGATTCAAGAACTCTGCTTTCGTCGCGTGGGCAAGAATTCACGGAAGCCAAGTTAGACCGACGTCAATATTAACTGCAAACATTATTGATCGACACAAACTTTAAACGATTAACAGCAACAGCCAGCCAGAAATATGGGATTGGTATTATTGAAATTGTAAATCTTAATATATATAAATTTCGACCTTTATTACTGACACATTTTTGCATTAAGTGCATCTATCCTATGAATCCATATAAACTTTATAATACATATATGAAACAACAGTTGATCTACCGTCATTTTACTCTTTATTTAAAACTTTACAGTTACAAAAAATACGCTGCTCTTAAAGCAAGTAATTATGAAAGTAACCTTTCATTACTACGTCAATGCTAAGGCACCCTCTCTCCGAGTTGTCTCAGTCGTCCATATTCAATTCCGAGCCGCGAGACTTCTAGGGAGAATTTACCGTATACCTCGTTAAACATTGTTTTCAATCAATACTGCATTCAGTGAACACAATCATTGATCAAACTTGCGTATAAAAAATACGCGTAAACAGTGTTATAATTTACCGTGGAAAAAAGGACCGTGTAAATCAGAAGGGACGTTTGTAATTCGTTTCCTTTCCACTGTTCTTTATTTCGTACGAACCCGCGTTTTCGCTAGGAGCATCGTGTTATCAAAATTAACTTTCGCGGAGAAGTGACGAATTGCTTGGCTCGCGGATCGAGATCGGGACGAATGGCCTAATCTCGGATAAACCTTCGATAAAGAAATGCTTTTGGCACACGCGGAAACATTATGGTATCCGTAAACTGCCGGGAAGTCCTTTATTTCCGCGGGCGTCCGAGTGGAAGTACTCGAACGCGGCGGAGCACCGCCCACGCTTCTCAGACTTTTCTATGGCAGTACAAGCACTCTGTTTTCGTGTAATCAGATAATGGACGACCGATGGGAGAGCGAGGTGATCGAGTACGGTGCCATCAACATCACTGGTTTTCGCATCGTGGACACCACTCGACCGTACGTCAAAGACTTCTTGGCCGGTTGGCATCGTCGCGACCCGGCGACGACTCAAGGAGCCGGTCGCGAAACTATTTCCGTACGTATGTCTCTGGTTCGCTCTTTTTCCCGCGAAATTTTCTCGCGGCCACGCCTTCCCTCCACCGCGAAATTTTCCCGGTGAAATTGTCTCCCCTGCCCTGCCACTTTTCCGCGAACTTCGCCGACAGAATCATCTCCTCTACCCTTCGAAACTCCTCCGCAAGATATTACCCCCGCGCCATCCCTCCTCCGCCCTTCTTCCAATAACTTTTCTTTGCCTCGGTTAGCGTCTGTCACCCTGTACAACCGCTTCACCATGGGAACACCTAGCCGTGCGAAATGTCATGTATTATCTAACGCAACAATTTATTTGTCCGGGCGTTAGAAATGCTAGACCGAGTCGAACCTATGATTTTGCTCAAGCTTTTCGATATTATGATCACTGGGAAATCTGATGCAAAATAAAAATTGTCTTCGTCGGTTATAATTGGGAAATAGGAAGTTGTTGTTCCTGGGGTCATTTGAAGCAACTTTTTCCTTTGCGAAAATATTCTCCGAGGTTTCGTTTACGAGTTATTAACGAAAAACAGTGACCAATGAGAGGCGAGCTCACTGGCGCGAGGCGTCCGAGCCAATGAGCGGAACTGGGCTTCGTGCGCCGGTTGGCTGGGCCGCCTCGCGTCTTATTGGTTACCGTTTTTCGTTAATAACTCGTTAACGGTGTCTCGGAGAACATTTTTGTAAAGGAAGAAGTTGCTTCGAATGATCCAAAGAACCCACCATTTCCGGATTGCGAGACATTTTTGTGGGACACCATGTATAATAAAAGCCATAAAATAATACAAAATGTAGATATTCAATAGTACTTTTGCATTTTAATTAGCACTGAAATGATTAAGTAAAAGTACCTCTCTTATGTGCACTTAATTAGGACATTCACAACTGCAGAAATAATATCGCACAGTGATTTCCAAGTAATTTGAAGTCTCGTTTTTATCTTTCTACAATATTACCGCTTTATTTTCAAATACAAGAAGCTTACACTTACTTCTAACACAGTCGGTATCGTGTAGTAAAATCTGAACACCATAAAACTATGACAATCGCAAGAAGCGAATACCCCAAAGAAACGTCCGTGATCCGAAGAGGCGTTCGATCGCGTTCCTGTCTACACGGTAGCGAAAGCAACCGGGTTTTGTTCCCATCCGGAGCGACCACATTCCGACTGTTCCTGCCAGCGGATTTGATATCTAGAAGCAGTCACGGTGCAGAGGTCAAACGACTAACCTGCGCGATGTCCGACGCATCAATTACCTCGATCGATCGTCGCGCAATTTCCGTGCGCGGTTCCTCGAACTTTGGCCACGTGCCCGACGTATCCCGGTAACTGTGAATCTGCGTACGTCCCAAAGCGAACGATAAATGGTTTTCTCGGTTTCTCGGAGCAAGTCGGTTTAACCTGGCGCGGAAACGTGGCCGCGGGAACTTCGCTGCGTTCCCGTCGCAGCCTCGCGTTGCCTCCCGTAAGCCGTATAATTTCAATTGTTACGACGATTGCGGCCCGTCGTCGCTCGGACCGGCTGTGTTCGAGTCGCATTCGGATCCGAGGAACTTTCCACAAGCGCGGTTTTTGTCCGGTCGCCACGCGGACGCGGCTGTTCCGCACCCGCAACTTCTGCTCCGATGCCCGATGGAAGCGGCTGTCGGCGCTCGAGAACTCGGTTCGATTAATGAAACCGCGCGTTCCGGCTAGTAATTGATTCCGTTTCGTGTTACTTGATGATCAGACGTTGCTTTGACGATCGTTCGATCACTTTGCGACCGAACGGCGGACGTTCGCTATGCTCTTGGTATTAGTTCAGGCGAAACCGGCACGCACCTTTCCACACTTTGGTGGAGAATGTAACTCGTCGGTCCTGTTTGAAATTCAAGCGTAGCATGGATTCTTGAAATTATAGCAATGCACGGTTAAATTTACACGGAGGCTGGCGTGTAAATTTAAAAATAATTTTGTATGGGACACATTTTCTTCCAAGAACTGATTTTAGTATGGCACGGTCGAAAGAGCGAATAAATATGACGAGTGAAAGTGAGATACAGTCGTGGAAAAATATACGAGGAAACGTACTTCGAAAGTATGTTTTACAAGTAAAGATAAGACTAAAGTGTTATATAACATGTCAATGAAATGCTTTGTTGAGAAGTTTTGTAAAAAATAAGAAATGTAATAGATATAATAAGAATAACGTACAAGGGACGATAATTAATAAAATAACACACTCCCTAACAGTATAAGATCACAGAGACAAGCACCGATACTGATAACTGTTACACTGCAAGCAGTGTAGCATCGTTGCATCCAAGGCAACGATGATTCGTTATTTTGCCTTCTCTTTGTTATCTCTGCAATCACTATCGCCGGTGCTGTGCACATACCGAAATTTGTTAGTCACTAAACTTATTCGTAACCTTAAAATAGAAATGGATGGAATTCTGGAATCTGAAAGTAGTTTTTCTGATTGTAGTGCAGACAAAATTATGCCGCTGAAAAGAAGACGAATTAGAGAAATAAGACCCGATAGCGATGATAGCGATAGTGATTGCGAAGTGCCTATATGCATCCCACGTTTCAAATATTACCACACTGAATAAAATGTCTAACGAATATTGCTGAAAAATGATTTTTTTTTACTTTTATACAATTTTACACTTAAATATAAAATAAAAATTTTTCGGTGATATGGGCCTTTTTCTCATATTTCCATATGATGCAAATGGATTAACATCCCAGAGAAATGTATATCGCTCGGCCCAATCATGAAAAAGTTGTTCCGTTTTAAAAGATGTACACCGACCGTAGAGTGATGGAGTTCGAATACTCATCCGGCAATCTTCTTCGCATTAGGCACAAGCAGCGCTGATGTACGACGCCGTGTTTGTTCTCGTCGAGGCGTTCAACAAGTTTCTGAAAAGGAAGCAGGACAAAAGCAACGTTAGACGGACTGGAATCCCGGGCAGCAGTCAGAGTACGAACGACACCAGGGCACTGGATTGCAATAATAGCCGTGGTTGGGTGACAGCGTTCGAATACGGCGAAAAAATTTCGAGGCTGCTGAGAAAGGTTAGTAAATTATAATCGAATCAGCTACTAAACGTACACAAAAATCCTTTATAAAAATGATCCATTGCAGTTCATTTAACACCAAAACTGCTTTTAAATAAAAATGTTCCCGAAGAAACGAAATTCAAGAACGTAGAAGTAAAGATGTCGCTCTTTAAAACGAGCATAGACAAAATATTGTGCCATTTTCTTGCACAAAGATATGGAAGTTTAAAGACTGATAATTTTTCATTCATAAAGTATTGCTCTAAGAATTTACTTCTGTTTTACAGTCATAAAGATTCTAGGAGTTCAAAACAAATACGATCTTTTGACATAATTACAATGATTTATTAAATTCAACTTATAAAACCTCGATTCTCAAATAAGCGTCATCGTTTCTTCAATGTATTAGCGCATAGATGAATTTCTTAATTTCAAGCAGAAGTTATACAATGAATGCGATTTGGTAAATGTTAAGGAAAATTTGTTATTGTCAGAATTTCTCTACAACCGATTGTGCTTGCGCTCAGAATGGTTCAGTAACGTTTGTTGCGTTAATCTTTTGCTCTTCCTGCCAAAGGTCCAGCAAAGTGACAAAGCAACATGGATAGGGCGATAATTCATCTCGGAATTCTTGAACGCGGACAGAAACGTAGAAATACTCAATATGTTTCGAATACCCGTGGCAACCGAAATTGCCAGGGTCTCTTCCCGGCGTCTCCCTGCTGCTGACAGTAATTGGCGGTTATTCCGACTCTAACGGAATTCCTGCGTCTACTTCTGATCGTTTCCCTTCGTTCGCCTCTCTATATACATATGTATAGCAGAGTTACACCGGAAGTCCTTCAAGCCCCACCAACTCTTTGACAGTTTGTTGCCCGACCGAATCAAACGTGAGAACCTGTCGATATCATGAAAATCGTCAGTGGTCCGAAAAATACTCTTTCGTCAGCAGAGAAATTAGCTGCATCAAAAATCATTGAACTCGTAGTAAAGTCATTCGTTAACCCCTTAACGCACAGATTTTTTGAAAAAAATCGGCCAAGAAAAAATCAATTTTTTTTATGTAAAAAAACACAATTTAGAACATTGTCTTGGCAAAAGAATTAAAAAAATACGAAAATAATCAAAATTTTTATTTTAATTTTGAATTTTGATCCACATTGCAGAAAAGAGTCGAATATTGCAATGTTAGAAAGGAAAAAGGCTATATTTTATTCTTGAATAAATAAGTGTTATAGCTTGCAATCCCATGTAAATGATAAATATCAATAAAACGATTTTTTTTCTTTGCTTTCACATTATTATCTTCGATTCTCGATTATATTCGAGTGTGAAAAATTATTGTAGCATAAAATACAACGCCGCTCGAATGTTCTGTTCAGCGCGCTCGAATTAACTCGAGCGTACAAGTTAAGGGGTTAAAAGAATCATCTAATCTCTAAAAATTAATAAACTCGTAATTGCGTTCAATAAGAATACCGTAACTATACCGTGAACTATAAATTATTGCGAACTAATAATGCCTTGTATTTTACTGACAGGTCGAACTCGAGGGGTTGACGGGAGAAATTCGTTTCAACGATGACGGTCGCCGTCACAATTACACCCTTCACGTCGTCGAGATGACGGTCAACAGTGCCATGGTCAAAGTAAATATTTTTTCCCCGCAGCGTGTGATCAAATAATCCGCTCTGCGTCCCATTTTGTACATAAAAAATAGTATCAGGAATAAAAGAAACGCGTTAAAAGTAAAAAATCATACGAGATAATGAAACGCCACGTCGATAAATAATTAAACGTGATTCTGCTTACATACAGTAAATTCTCCCTAATTTTCTTGACATTAATGTTAGAAATATAAGTTGAAACGAATAAATGTGACCGGAAAAAAAACATGAAAACTGCCATGAAACGATAAACTGCATACTTCATTATTTTCTCATCTTTTCTCAGAAATCAGCATAATTTACATAATTTATATTATATCTTTATTAAATTATTATTGATTACATATATTTAATCGACCTTTTTTCAACGACTCATTTTTATTCTAACTTTACATTTAGATGTAATTTACTTTGATTTGATGTTTGTAATTGAAAAATATAAACAACCAGTTAGGCGATCTTAATTATTAATTCTCTATTGTATTTTAAAGGTTGCAGAATGGACAGACGAAGCTGGGTTCCAAGCGATTGCAGCGAAATACATTCGTCTTCGACCACACACGGAAATTGAGAAGAACAAGACTTACATTGTCACTACGATCGTGGTAAGAAATTTCTCTGCAAAGTATCGCTACAGTTAATTGCTACTAAAAGGGGATTAATGAGCGCCTTAATTTTGTGGTACAGGAAGAACCGTATATCATGAAAAAGAAGTCAGAAACAGGGGAAGTGCTAGTTGGCAACGACAGTTACGAGGGCTATTGCAAAGATCTGGCTGATCTGATAGCAAAGAAACTCGGAATAACATGTAAGTGTTTTTTAATGGTTCATAGAATGCTGCAATTGTCGACGCAATTTCTATATTATTATATTTTTACAAGAATATACAAACAATCAGTGTAGCTGAATTATTGTTCGCAACAAGAAGGGAAAGCAAAATAAGTAGGTCTCTAAATTGAAAAATAAATATACGACTATGAAATGTTTTTATAAATTAGAGTAAAGAGAAGAAAGTATAAAATTATTAACATTAAGCTAAAACGAAGGTATAGAATTTACTGATATTAGGGTAAAAAGGAAGTATAAAATTTATTAACAGAAGGAGAAAAAAATTTTCAATTATGATATTAATTGCTCTTGAAATTCTCTTGCGTTTGGCAGATTGCAAGCTTTGTTGTACTCGAACCATCAGCATAAAAGTAACAGTGAACATGTTAAAAAAAATTTAATCCACCGGAAGCCTGTTAATAATATTTTCAATTATACCGCTATACTGAGAGGAATCATAGAATTCTTCATTCTACATGATAACACCAAACGAAATTATTAGTTTATGTTACTCGGGATTACTTGTTGCCACGCAACCGAAATTGCTGTTTGCATCGAATAATTCATTAAAAAGTTCTCCACTGTAAATTGTAGAGTCTTAACCCTTTGCACTCGAGTGGTGACTCTGGGGCACTGCTAAAATTGTTACGTCACGTTCCGAGATAATTTCTACATTATCAATGCTTAGATATAAAATATTGTTAAAAGTCCAACTGTTGTGCGAGTCACAAGACTCAATCTCACATGCATGAAATGGACTTTGTCATATAAAATGGAGATACCATAAGTCAGAAAAGTTAATTTAGATTTATAGTTGAAATGGCTTCGAGCGCAAAGGGTTGAAAAATAAAATAAACGTGTTCACATAAAAAATAGCCATAGAACTCGTGTATCAAATGCGCAGGTTCACGATTTAGTTAGTGTTAGGTCTGTCCCCGCCCTTAATAATTCAAGATCACGGAGACTTCTCTATCGAATCAAGAAGTAATTATGGTTGCAGCGAAAGAACCAGAGCCAATCGAGCACTCGCTGAGAGATCAATCATTCTTTCTGTTAATTTTTCAGACGAGCTACGAATTGTTAAAGACGGCAAGTACGGCATGGAAAACACGGAAGTTCCTGGCGGCTGGGACGGAATGGTCGGCGAACTGATCCGCAAAGTATGTTTGAACACTTGTCGAAGTTCACCGGTTCGATGTCCTTTCTTTTCGACACATAATTCGCCGGAAGTCAATGCACTGATCCGGTCCCAACGATTTCGCTGAACTACGAAAGCCTCGGCTATTGATCGTTGGATTCCTCCTCCGAAACAGGAGCTCGACGAGCTGTTTTATCCTCCCTAAAAAGTTCGATGCCTGTCCACCAGATGCCTCGTGCTTGCAAGCTCTTTAGTCTTGTCCGGCGTGCATTGAACTACATCTGGCGGGCAGTGTCGAAAACTTAAAATAAAAATTGATATCGAAGAGAATTTTTGAATAACCGAGACACACGAAGCTGACTCGAGGAATAATTTTTTTTTACGGAAATACAGAATATGACACGTTTAAAAGTGCTATGGTAAGGTGTTACGATTCGGACAACGAACGATTGCGCATATGAAACAATTTATAAGAAATAAAATGCTTTTTTTTTTTAAATTGATCGATTGTTGTGATACTTTTGCAGGAAGCAGATATTGCCATAGCTCCCATGACAATCACATCGGAACGTGAACGCGTGATAGACTTCAGCAAACCATTCATGTCTTTGGGTATCAGCATCATGATTAAGAAACCCATGAAGCAGAAACCCGGGGTGTTCAGCTTTTTGAACCCTCTGAGCAAGGAAATCTGGGTGTGCGTGATCTTCTCGTATATCGGCGTGTCTATCGTTCTGTTTACCGTATCCAGGTAAGTTCTCCTCAAAAAGCCACTTCGCATGATAACCACTTGATCGGGTCCGATCGATGCAGAAAAAGAACCGAAATTTAACGTATAATGTATCTATGATTTACATTATATTTTCAAACATGTATTACATATCGAGGTATTAAAATTATAATATAATAAAATTATGTAATAAATAATAATATATAATATAATATAATTAAAATTATAATATTGCATATTACACCTGGTATGGTATAATATGGTACTATATTATACCATAGTATAATTGTTGGGATAGTCGAAGAATTACAAAAGATTACATCAATTTTATAAACTTGGTACACTATTTTTTTTAATATGCCAAATTTTTCAAAGAAAAAATAGGAAAACCTGATATATTGTAATTAAGTGCCAAATAATTTATTGTTCTTAATATACTCGTGCATTATTGAAATCTAATTTTAATGAAAAATTTTATTTTTATTTTAACACACGGTGTTTGAGATAATTGGGGAGGGAGTAATTTTTAGAATGAACGTAAATCGAAAATTATTTGCGGTTCATGCAATTTAGATTGATTTGACTTTATTTCAACTCCAAAAAAGAAATCTCAATCATAGAAATATAATTACAGTATAAATCGCGTGCGATTTAAGTTCACGACACGGATTAGGAAATTGTTGCCCTCGGTATTTCAATCCGTGCTGATCATTAGTGTGTTCACCCTCCATTCGCTCGTCGTTCCACCCCTTGCTGCCCTCCGTTCGACGATAATTACGCAACAACCAGCCCCGTTTGCTTCTTGGCGAAGTACCCGTCATTACGTGTCCACTCACGATACTCATGCGTTCATTTGTCGCTCGTATTGTATCAACTTCCAACGATAAATCAACGCCGCTTTTTTACTTGAGCTCGATTAGGCTATTTACTGTTCCGTATCTCGCGTGATTTCCTCGAATGCGGTTTCACAGCGATCAGGGAGTTACTGTGATCTTGATAGCGACAATAAGGGCAAGAACAGTGTCACGAGATCGTTGATTTGATGTTTACAGCGATTATCGCGGAACCCATAGCCGCCACGTGTTTCTGCGAAGTTTATGATGGATCGGCGGCAAACTTTTCGTTGGTTAAAGGTCAAAACCTCGATCTTCTTTTTCAGAATGATCGCAAAGATATGGGGTGGTCGTTAAGAATGCGTTCTGAATTTTGGAAATAAAGTGACTCTGATTGACGAACTTCTGAAGGTTTATTTATTATATTTTTTATATAGGATCAGATTATAATAAATTGTTTCAGGTATCTCATTTTTAGTACGTACATTTAATGTGTATCGCCCAAATTGCATAAATAATTTTAACATAGTATGCACAATCTGTAGAAGGTATCGTAACACCTAGATCTTTATATAGAATAATAATTGTCAGCATTAAGTGCAAGATGCAAGAGCTGCATAGATATTCATTTAATGTGTCGAAACTTACGACTTGAAATTCTTTAAATGGTTTTACTGTATCGCATTCGATACAAATATTAGTTATAGTGCTCTAGATCAAACCCATAACAATTGTCTCCAAAAACAATACATAACAAAAAAACAAATTATAGATAACCCAACTGATGGAAAATTTTCAAAAACATATGAAGGTGCAGATAATATAAATTAGAATATGAAATATGTAATAATTAGACTGTGGTTTCTATGCGAAGCAAGAATGTTTAAAGTCAATTGTCAGAAAAAAAGAACAAATAAAAATTAATCTTTTGTTTTAATGATTTTCATAAGTCAACACGATGTTACAACAGTATTCTTAAATTCTTCCACAGATTTATACGTCAATTACATATGATATAAACAGGAACTCAAGAAATGTAATGATATAAATTGCAACTTGTAGAATTCTATGCTACGATATGTACTGGAATACGATAAATGTACTAATATAAACTAGAGCATAAAAAAATGTACCAACTTCAACTAAACCATAAATTTATTATGAAAAAGCTAAGGCGAAGATTGATGACCCTTTTGGCAAAAAAAAATATAGCATTTGTGTTTTTCCGGAATAAAATCTTGATTACTTTATTCTGCGCAGGTTTTCCCCATACGAGTGGAGGGTGTTGACACTCAGTACCGGCGGCGATTCCTCAATGTCATCAAGAAACGACCCCACGCTACAGCATCCCCATGGGTCCCAAGGATCACCGCACATGCCAACCTCTAGTATGGCGAACGATTTCAGCATCATCAATAGCCTGTGGTTTGCACTGGCCGCGTTCATGCAGCAAGGTTGCGACATATCGCCCAGGTAATGCTCCATTTCCATGTATTTGGCCGCGATACTGATAACCCCATCTGCCTATCTCAACGAGCCTCGCTATATAAGTTAATTGTCAAGATACGATCTAAAACTGAATTACCAAACTTTTTCCTGCGACACATTTTCTTTATCAGTTATGACGTACAGAATTATTTCGGACACGGAACTTTAATGGAACTACAGCCGAACGGTAATAACGGTAAAAATGTATTATCGTTATGGTACATATACATTTAATTTAACACTGCGTGTATTATATATATATATATATTATTACCTTATTATATATTATTATTATTAGTAGTATTTATATATATTATTTTATATATATTTATTTATTATATATATGATCATTGCAGAATAGAAAGTACCAAACTCAAAAAGAATATCAAAATGTTTTATATAACTTGCAAGATTCTGAAAATTGATACTTTTTTTAATCCTCGCAAGACGGTGACTCAATTTTCGGCAATGAAATAAAATAATAAATAAATTCGCTTTACATTAGGGACAACGAAAAGGTGAATAAATCTCCAAAAATATGTTTTGAAAAATTTTGAAAAAATAGTAGTTGTGAAAATGGTCAGCCGTCCAAGAGTTAAAGTCGTTTCAAATGTTTGTTTGTTATTTGAGACGAATACACAGAAGATAATTAGTTTAACTTTACTTTTTCACAGGAAAATAATTTGTCTCTTTATCCTTTCGATAATCGTAAAATAAAATGTTGGAAACGGATCATTTTAATAGGCCATTTCGATGCTTTTACAACAGCTTCGAATCCGCCATAAAACCGTATAGATCCATACGTCTCGGTAACATTAAAATTCATCCGATATTTATTTATTCATATTTATTTTAGTTAGTAAATAATAACTAATTGCTTCTTTTAAACACCGAACAATTGCAATCGACGATTACTTGCGTTATTTCGCGTATCACCGATTGAATTTTGCTGAATTAGCTGTCGTGAAAAATAACAATGGAAACATTGAAATCACCTGTACGCGATAACGATCGTCGTTGATGTGTCGAGCACCTTATCGCGCGAGGATTGCCTGTACCATGTACATGACAAAAAGTGTGGTTCGTTCAACCGTCTTTCTGGCTAATTTTAGCCGTCCATTTGTCCCGTCTTCCCCTCATTGCCATTTTCGTTTCCGCGGTGCAGGCGAAGGGAGTAAAGTACATAAAGACTTCGTCCGTGAATGGCTTCCTTTACCTCGGGGCAGGTCAACCGTACAGCCTGCTAATAGGATGAATTGGGTGAGATTCAAGAGGTTCGCTGTCAACGTTTAAAATCTCCTGTGTAAACGTTTCGTAGTTCTTCGGCGTCGGTGGATCGCGCCCTGCCGTTCTGAAAAGGCTACTCCGTGTATAATTAACGGTCGGGATTCGATTCAAGAAACGGTTGGGCGCACCGAAAATAATAATCGTCTTCCCAAATGATGCCCGGCGTTTTACTTATACGGCAGACTTGGTAATTCCGATTAACAATGTATCGCAATTCTCTTTCAGCATTATAATCGACGGCGAGCATTCCAGATTCCTTCTGACTGTTAAAAAGCATTCGCAACATTTTAATGACAAGAGCGATAGCTGCGTTTCTGTGTCACGGATAATTACATAATTATATATGATTTTATAGTAAATCTTCAGCATGCTGCAAACAATTTTTGCTGTTCAACTTTCTTTGTAAACTATCCATCATCTATTTCGTCGATAGCTTTTGTAATTATGGCACTTTCTTCAGAATGTTATACCTTTGTTGTAACATTCGAGCAAACGTAAGGGATGGTAGCATATTGTGTTAGGATATTAATAAACAGTTCGGTGCATAATGTATAATTACAATTTAACGTATAATTGTATTCCATACGAATGACTCTTCCACAATATTTTATTAAAAATGTACGACGTTTTATTCCGGAAGTTGAAGAGTACTATCGTTATTTCTACAAGCATAGATTATAAAAAAGTTACGAAGTTTTACGAGAAGCAGTAACCCTTCCTTATATCAGTCTTCTTCACTGGATACCATTGAATCTCTAAGCCTAGAATGCTCTAATTACTAGAATGCGGGTTTTATGCATTTATGATCAAAACGTGTAAACAGTAAATGCAAACGATCCTAACAAATTGTTCGAGCAGCTCGAGAAGAGTAAAGACGGCAGGAAGTGTCGCAAAATCCAGGACTCGAACACTTTCACGGCGTCCTTCGAACCCCAATCCCCATCGCCACCCCCCCCCCCCGTTAGATAGTGGAACAATGATAACCTTTAAGAGTGTGATTTACGAGGCGCGGCCCGCGGAGGGTTTAAGGTACACAATAATTAGTGTTGCAAATTCCTCCGGGCAAATTACAACTGCGTGGCCGGTAAATGGCGATTATAACCGCGGGGCCAGAATTATCACAATATAATCGGATTACGTTCCGTAGTCTCGTGCTGGATGTAATTTAAAGCGGCTACGTAATCGGCGCCGCGATTAGGCCTCCGGCTATTCGAGGGCGGCTCATTTGAATGAGCGTGTCGTTCGAGCCACGGCGAAAATTCCATTAGCGACACGCGCCAACCGGTTGCAAAGCGAGGCCATGCGTTTCCTGCTCGGTCGATCCTTTTTCCTGGCCGTTTCTCCGCTTTTATATCGGTCCTCCCACGCATCGGGCATCGATCAACAATCAGGACCGCGGAACAATGCGCCGCATACCGGTCTTAATGCGAGTTCCCGGCCTCTTTGCATAAACGACAATGCCGTCGTCGCGGTTTCTCCGTGTTCTTCTTTTTTTTTCTTTTTTTTTTTACGACCGTTTCGCGTTCGTCGAAAGAAACCTGCCGCCGATAAGTCACGTTCCTCGCATTCGGACTATTTCGCGCGGGGTGCGGGTGCCCGATGAAATATGGACGAGCGTTTCACGAGGATACGATCGTGTCGCTGTAATATTAGGAATCGGAAAAAATGGTGATACGAATAATATAATCTGTACAGTTGTCAATATATTTAATGGCTAAATAGTCTTATTCGATGATTCAAATATTAACAAATATTCAGCGAATACATTGTCTCACGTTATTGTCGTGTTAATCTGTTTCGATTAGATAATATTACACCATCCAAGGCCCGCAAAAGCTACGAAACATTCGACGTTTTCAAGAAAACTTCAACATCGGTTGCATTTATTATAGAACTTTCGCGAGATAAAGCGAGTCGAGTAACTCAGCCGTGAAAACTATTTTCAGAAAAGGAAAATGAAGTATTCGTATTTTCGCGGGCGTTTCGCGGTCTTGAACAGCTCGGAACTGGGGCTCAATTAATTTACATTTCCCCGTATCCGCCATGCCACCCCATCGCGGTAGCCTCCTTGATTAATGGTTTAAATATTCGAGGTGCGGCGATATGAATTGTAAATTTCGTAGAACCTTCTGTCCCCAACGTCCATCGCTCCTCCCTGTCGCCATTTTGCTTGCCGGACTCCATATCACATGATTCCTCACGGACAGGGCGCAAAGTTTCATTACTAAACGTAACCAAACCTATCGAACATATCGTGCGTAATCTAATTACGAGGTTCCTCGCGAGAATGATAGTATAAAATTAACAACAATAAATGAGACGCTGTTATAATTTGTCCTTGTCCTAGTTCTCGCTGTTCTATATTACGGTCTTTTATGCAAAATAAAAATTGCCTGCACTAATTACGAGATATTTACTTAATTTACTTATATATATATTTACTTAATTATAATTATATATATAATATATATATATATATATATATATATATATATATATATATTTACTTAATTTCTTACTAATCATATTATTATTTATTACTATTATATTATATATTTCTTACTAATAATTATTTACTTAATTTCTTACTAATTTTAATCAGTTGAAACTAAATATGAGTTTAACAGTATTTTAAAATGTTTTTAGTATCTCCACAATTTTATTCTTGATAATTATTATTTTTGTCACAAAAATGCATAAAATTCACAGTGCAGTAGTTTAATCACTATCACGCGCGCGCTACCTTCGATTCATCATTATTCAATGACGCTCGTCATTACTACTTTCGGCAGATCAATATCAGGACGAATAGTGGGCAGCGTCTGGTGGTTCTTCACTCTAATACTGATCTCTTCGTACACTGCAAACTTGGCTGCATTTCTAACCGTCGAAAGGATGGTGGCACCAATCAATTCGCCGGAGGATCTGGCGTCCCAGACGGAAGTACAATATGGCACGTTGTCTCACGGATCTACTTGGGACTTTTTTCGCGTGAGTGAAAACCAAACGCAAATATTAGGGACTTAAAAATATCACATTCCATTAATATTGATAAAGAATCATCAACACTAAGCCTCCCGAGAATTATAAGTGTCTGGTATGCATTTAATTCGAAAAATGACAAAAGTGACAAGATTATCCAGAATTCGTACAATTTTTCTTGTACAATGGAATCTCGTGTATCCGAAGTAATAGGGATATAAAATTGCTCGGATAAAGGGATTTTCAGATAATAGAATAAACACTTTCTTACACTGAATTCCATTTATTCAAACGGAATCTTCAATTTTTACCCGAAAGAAAATTTATTTCTTCGAGAAGTAACTTATACTGTTAACAAAGAGAGACTTCATAGATTTTAAAAAGGAAAACTTAAATTCTCTTTACGCACAGGAAACAAAATTAACAGTTTATTTATGCATTTGTGGATGCCATACCTTTTGGGCTGCTATAAGTCAAATTCTAAAGCTTTATTACATTATTACTGATATTTAAGGGGCACCGTTACGTTTACACCCCCCCCCCCCCTTACTAGTTACCTCTTTGCCGCAGCTATCGGTGCCTATTGATCGATGTCGATCTTCGTCACCGATTTCGGCCTATAATAAATAACAAAAATTTAGGAACAAGGAGAATTCTGTTTATAAATTAAACATACCGGTTATATGATTAGTGTTGAACAGTTTCGTAGAGGAACAAGTACATGCAATATTCGTCTCTTAAATTACAGAAATCTCAAATCAACCTCTACAGTAAAATGTGGGAGTTCATGAACTCTCGGAAACACGTGTTCGTCAAAACGTACGACGAAGGTATACGAAGGGTGAGGACCAGTAAAGGGAAGTACGCTCTTCTGATAGAGAGCCCGAAGAATGAGTACATAAACGAGAGGGAGCCCTGCGACACGATGAAAGTGGGCAGAAATCTCGATGCTAAGGGCTTCGGCGTCGCTACGCCATTGGGATCTCCTCTGAGGTGAGCATACATTTATAGAGAGTGTGTCGATAGATCGGTAGGTCGAATCGTTGCCCCGTTCTGCTTATGCAGTGACTCGAACAACGTTCGATAATATTATTAAATTTATGTTTGTTTTACACACATACGTTTCAATAATTAATATATAATCAATAATTATTTTCTCACGTTCTACGTAAATCAATAATAAAATCGTATGTGTTACATTTCATTTATTAAATTCATACAAAATTATATCGTTCTTTATATAAATCATATTAAAATAACAATTATAGCAGCTTATAAAAACGATATTTTAAAAAAGAAATTGCATCGATTCTATTCTACAATTTCAATACCTGGGTACGAAAACATATACTGAATTCCTAAATTTAATAGTAGCACTGTATAAGTTAATTGTTATTGCAATATAGTAGTCAAATTATATATTTTGATTATGTATCATTTTTTACCGATTCAGTATTCTTTTCTATCACGCTTGAAAACTGGTATAATACTTGTAATAAATAAAGTTGTCCTTAATTCGTAATACCTTGTTTTAAAAAGTTCCATCATTAATTACCGACATTATAGCGATGTCAAAATTTGTATAATTTTGTTGAAAATTTTATCCGATGTATATTTACACGTTACAAACGGATTTCTGAAATCATTATTGTGCAGTATTCGGGGAACTAATTGGAATTAATTAACGTTTGCAATCTTACAGAGACTCGATAAATCTAGCGGTGCTGTCGCTGAAGGAAAACGGCGAATTAACGAAGCTCGTGAACCGGTGGTGGTACGACAGAACTGAATGCAGACACGGTGACAAACAGGATGCCTCCAGAAACGAATTGTCCTTGAGCAACGTGGCAGGGATATTCTACATTCTTATCGGAGGCCTCCTGTTAGCGTTGGCCGTCGCTTTACTCGAGTTCTGCTATAAATCTCACACAGAAGCTACGAGAGCAAAGGTACAATTACTAATTAAATAGCATGTTTCGCATTGTAAACATTTCAATTGAAATTCTCGGATTTGCTTGTAACATACGTAAGATGCAACTCCTGCAATAAAAATCGAACAGATTTTAATATTAGCGATTCTCTAGCTTTGATATTATTACTATAATGGCTACAGTAACGCATAGGTGTTCCAAAAAGGAAAACATTTTTCGAAAGTGAGAAAGTTAATATGTATAGTAATTGACCCTCTAACCGCGGGCGAATTTTTGATTTTTCTATAGGAATTCGTGGGCTAGTTTTATTTGTTATGCGGATGCGTCCTTCATTAGATTAAAAAGGATGTAAAAAGAGATAGAAAAAAAGAATAACAAAATTCTAAAAAACTTTTAATTTTTAATTTTTTCAATATACAGGGCGTCCCAAAAATGTCTCGCAATCCGGAAACCCAATCAGGAACCCGCCACTTTCGGATTGCGAGACATTTTTGTCTCTCTACTCAAAATTAAAAATCCAAAAATGTAGAAACTGTGAGAATGGATAATGTCAAACCTCTAAGCCACTTCCCAGTCCTTATAATATTCGCACTTTCGCTTCTAACGATTTTGAAACAATAGGCAGTGCAAAATCATTAATTTTTGTACCTCGAAAATGTCTGCGAAGTGGCCCGTATGCGTTTTTCTTACACTTTACCTTCTACTACAGCAATAAACATTCGATCTTGCAGATACCACTGTCAGACGCGATGAAGGCGAAAGCCCGATTGACGATCGGCGGTGGTCGAGATTTCGACAATGGCCGGGTAAGTGACGCGACGATTCGCGGATCCTTACAGTTTCGTTCTATTTTGTTGAAAAAGCACGCGAACGCCGCGTCTAGAGTACGAGCCCGTAGGATCATAGTTGGCGATGGATGAGCGACGGTGGAGTAAAGTATTCGGTTTCGGCGTACCGAGAAAAGCGTTGAAACATGCATTCGCAGCGTGGTCTGTTCTCGCGACAGAAACGCATAAACGGCCCGCCCCCATACATTTTTGCCGTTCGCCTCTCCGGAGCCAACGATCTCGATGTATCGTGTAACATAGAACCGTAAACGGAGAGCAAGGGTGCATTATACATACCGTGTAATACAGAGCCTATACATACATATATAGATGTATATACAATACGTATACGTATACATAGAAGCATACAATAGAGTACGTATAGCATGCAGTTAGCAGAGTGTAAACAGTCGACATACATTGTAAATGGAAGACGATCGAGAATTTCGTGCTGGGATGGGGTTCTCGACGGCACGATCAATCGGGAAACGATCATCGATCGTTATCCATAGATCGTGTGTGCATAGATACGAATACAGAGAGTATACAAACATATACAAGAGATGAGTCGCCTGACATTTGAAATTGAAACGTCTCCTTTGTTTTCGACGATTCAAGAAAAGAGTTTTCTTTAGCGATGCTATTATTAAGAGACGGATTTTTTCACCGAAGCCACATTTTCCGGAATTTTTAGATCAGAGAATTAGGTCTTCTGAATTGAATTTTCATTTATGTGTGGAGAAGATTAGGAGTATTTTACCCCTCAGGAGTGACTGACAACAAGAGCCAGATATACCACAAATTAAGTTTATAACAAGTTTGATAATAATCCTTCAACTAACTTCAAGCGATTTCTTGTATTCCATCTTATATACTTGGAGGGGTGATTTCACCCCCTAAATATGAGATTGGGCCAATATAAAAAAATACGTATCCCTTATTTTTTGGTCCTGTATATCATATCCGAAAACCAAAGCAATCGGAGAAACGGATGCCTGAAAACCCCTCCTTTTACTTACATCGTTCGATTTCAAGAAAAAAAAACGTTGATTTTGAAATATTACAATGTGCGATCTTGAGGAAAAACTCTGTTTCCTCGCAATAATTGTTTCTCTGAAGCGAACATATTTTTCTTTAGTCTCGTGTCAACTGTATGAAAACAACGGAGACATTTTCACTTTGAATATGTTAGATAACTCACTTCTATGTACAGAGTGGCAACGAACTGGTTGGTGCAATTCAGAAGTTTGCAATTAAACAAATTTGCAATTTGTACTATAATATATCCAATGACTTTTTTACGAAAGCTTCTCTATGACTAAAACAATTATTTGTAACGCAAAGGGATCGTTCCGTGGCAGATAAAAGTAAAATAAAAATATTATAAAATGATTCGAAGCCGGTTGATTTATTTATTCGTCTCGTGTAGTTTTCATATTAATATTTATACGAAGTAAAAACCGTGAGATTCGAAGAAAAATACTGAATTCTATCCGAAACTCTGTTAAGTCAATAATCATTTAAATTCGTTCGTCTCTCAAAGAGAAAGTACTATATAAAAAAATATTGTACCACGTTCTAGATTATTTTTGTTCTACCAATTCTCTTGTTCCTGGTTTGCACCAACAGGTGTCTCATACACGATGAAACCTAAACTGGTAACATTACTGAGTCATAATCACGGTTGCCAGAAGAATAAGCTAGATTTCAAACCGAAAGAGTAGGGCACGTAACGCGATGCGGCGCCCCTCTTCGATTCGCTCTGTGCAGCGGAATGGGAGGCCGCGTCACGTTACCTAACCCCACTTCTTCGGCTCGAAATCTAGCTTGTTCTTCCGGTTACCACGATCGTGATATAATTCGCTATCGATAGTGCAAGAGACCCGAAATCGTTGTCGCTCGATATGTTTATTTACGATAGTTATACATATATACATAAATGCGTGCGATGTGCGGCTGGCTGGATGTGTTGCGCTATTTTCTACCTCCAACTATTTACCTCTTCTCTGTCTTTCTATCTCTCTCACTGTCTATCTATCTCTTTGTACTCGATGGATGCAGGAGACGTATTTGCTCGTTCGCGCGGTTTTTTTCTACTTTTATTTTTGTCTCTAGTGGTACGGACTGCAGAGTTAGACGGAGGATGCATGCGCCTTCCCCGGGACCATATGTGAGTACTCTCGCCCTTAATTTTAATTCCCACTTTCTGTATTTATTCGTTCGGTATGAATCTTTACTCCCGCTTCTTGTGTACATGGCTTCGAGTAGCATTCCTGCACATACACACACACATACATCACACATATACAGAGCACCAGAACTTCTTCTTAGGTATCTGCAATGCGGAAGGACGTCGACTGGTCGACTTCGTTCCGATAACATCATGTCAGACATTTTTCTACCGGAGGGTCATATCAAGAAGCCTATGATTGGTTTAAGCATGTTTAATAAGTATTACGTGTCTGAAATTTCACTAATTATCAATTTTATCTATCTCCGCAGGCGATATAATGCAAGTGTAACTTCATAATTGAAGCTGACACTTACTCGACTTTTGTTCTTTCGTTACATTATTTTATTTGTATGTACCGTTAATATTAATATTTAATGATTACTGTTTCTCTTTTAACACCATAGCGTTTATAATAAGTTAATAGGTTAGAGGATATGCGAAAGGAAAAAGTCGAAGGTGTTTTATTACCGAAAAAGTATTGCTACCGTATCGTTTTAGTCTATTTGCAATAAAAGTTAGTATTAAAAAGTAATTCTAGTTCAGCTTATATTGGCGATTTAACGATGAATGAGCTTCACTCTTTTTCAGTGGCCATGAACAGATTTTCTTCCATTTCAAAATTTCTTGATCAACAAAGGAGCAAACAGAATTCTATTATGTAATTCTTTCGAGTATAATTATTCGTAAACAACTGAAAAATCTGCTACGAAAATGTTTTGTAAAAGTGATCAACTTATTTTGTTCGCGTGTTAAAAATTTTTCATATCGAATAAAAAGTTTTGCACATTATCTTCGCTTAAATAGAAATTGTATATTTTTGTCGGTGAAAGTTTCGCCGATAAGAAATTATGCATCGTTAGTGTTTTTACTGGAATACAACGGATATTCAAAATTTATTACATTATTGTATAATGGCTATTAATATCTATTTTATAGCATTTGAAGAAAATATACGTACTAACAGTAAGTAATAAATATTAAGGCAGATCGTGACAGCAATATTTTCCAAAATATGAGCCAATCATGGGTATTCATTATTTCACTTCGCTGTGAATATATTCATCCATCAGATAAAATTATCCGTCCCCCACGCTTCTTCATTACCACACATCATTATCTCTCCAGATTTTTACTACTTCCTTTCCTGACAAATTTCCAAATAATTTACATGATCATTTCTATGTATTTTGTATTAAAAAAATATGACTAATTATTATTTATTCAGACTGATGGTTATGGTTGAAGGTAAATATGATCCAAGAAATTATAGTGGCTGAAAAGCATCTTTTTCTTCCACTAATTAATTTTCCCCTAAATGTATACTCATCTTCATCCACGTATCCTTTCCACCCTAATGTCCTTCTATCGCATAAACATTTCTAATCATTCCGAGAGGCAAGCTTTCTAGAGCAAAATGGGCATGGCTTGAGACGAATTAGCGGTCCATGTAACCGATGTATGGTTTGTGGAATCGCATGTCGCTTTTAAAGATAGTGCTTGAACATTACGCGAACAGAATGCGAAACAAAATCATTCTCTCACTCTATTCCTCTTAAATGAAAGACTTAACGTCTTCTCAATTGTCTCTTTAGTCTCCAGAAACTCTGATACAAAGTGTCATACATTGCACAAAGGGCGGGTTGTAGAATGGCAACAAAGCATTTTATGCACCTCTGCCATTATGTTCGCAGCTATATAGATCAAATCGTTCGACCAATTTTATCGATTGAAGTCTGATTAATTAGATTAATCGATCGTAATTGAAAGGCACATAGAGAGGCACAATTATTTCTTGTTCTCTTCTTCTATGGCGTACACGATTCATTCCTTTCATTGTTACACGTTCTTCTAAAACACATAGCTACGACCCTCACGTCAACGATTTATAACTGCCGATTAGCGAATGTTCATGCAAGGGAATTCCGACTACGGAATTTTAAAGACGAGAGTTCTAAAACCTGTGTGTGGAAATATGATATACAATGAAATATAACACCCAACAAAATTAACGTATAGACAACATTATATTTTTGTCATAATATTCCTTATGAATCTCGAATTTGTTCGTGGGCTAACACACACAGTAAGACTTTTTATAAATACTAAATGTATAATACTTATCTGAGATTATTCAAACAAATAAATTCCGTCTTACCGAAAGTGTGTTATAAACAAGTTCGAAAAAGGGACAAAATTTACAAAGTAATATCTAAAATCGTTCACAGTTTAGTACACGAAAAAAATTTATATCGCACTTACGAAGGTCGAAATGAGTCTAAAAAATGAAAAAAAATAGACTTACATGTTTTAGGTACATATATTTCTTGAAAAATTGTATATTTCGTACAATGAAAAATGATTTTGTACTTAAGAAACTGTTTTAAAAACATCCCTGTCTAACGACAAGTACAAATTCCCATTTAATCATCTCGACTCTATTGTTGCTTGTTTTATTACGAAAGAGGACATCACATGTAAACTGCTGATCATAATAACTGTTAATTCCAGGATAATCGCGCCAGAATATGAATAAATACCATTATGCGCAATATTTTCTAACAATTTACCACAACATTGACTCGATTAAACTTCCAATATTAATTCTAATATTCGGCTGGCGTGCTTGAGGTCCCTTCTTCCAGAGAAAAGACCGAAGCGGTATGAACTGCTTTATAAGCCTAATTCGGATGAACGAAAATCCATTGGGTTGTTCCTTGCATAAACATACATCGAACCATTACTCACAGCAACACTAAGCACACACCGACTAGGCCCCATTTATCACGAAGCGAATCATCAACAGAGATGCTCGTAAAAATTCATAATAGGGTGCGGCAGTACACAGATGTACCTCTAGAGTTGTACGAAAGACGTAGTGACAATATTTTTACTACGACCCCCTCTACAGTCCATCCAACGAAACGAGTTAGGACGAACAAATAAAACACCAGCATCTTTCATTTGTCAACTGGCTAAAAAGCGAGATGTAACTAACTTGACTCGTTGGTCAGAGTATGCGACCCCTTATACAGTGTTCTTCAACCGGTGGTCTGCGAAGAAGGTATCGTAGTAGTTAAAAAAAAAATGAGCCACTTATATCAAGTTGTCCAACAAAGAAATAATGGCAGATATCGAGCTATCTAAAAATCGCAAGTCTATCCCATTTGCGGTTCAAAACGTTTTCTTTTCATTGATCCGTTCAATCAATGAATACCTTCGAGTGAATGAACATTTCTCATATTTTCCACAGTGAAATTTATACAGTAATTCTATTGTATAACCACGGATATCTTCCAGACGTTATTTTCCATAAATTGATCGATTCGAACAGTTATTCCTTCGTTGGTCGTTTGAAAGCTGTAACTACCAAAATATGATAGGTTCGTGTTCAGGGTTGTATCGACTTGATAGTAAAACAGCTCGCTAATAACAATATCATCCGGGGGATCAAATAACGATCTGTGGCTTAAGAGCGTTCATTCACTGGACAGGTCACCCTAATCCAATCAAATTTCCGTAAGCGACATTGCAAGCTATTTAGAACAGTTGAGAAGTACAACACACACACAGTTATTCGTGTGTACAGTAAATTCTCCCTAATTTTCCTGCAACTTGTAAACAAAAATGGACAATTTGGGAAGAGGAGATATGATTGTTCGAGTCTCGCAGCTCATTTTTATAATTACCGATTGTCAACAACTATAAAAACAAGCAAGGCAACAAGGCCCAAATAATCGTATCTCCTCTTTCCAACTCGTCCATTTTTGTGAGCTTTTGTGATGAGGGAGAATTTACTGTACCATGTAATCATGGCATTATTCACGAACATAAGGCTCGACGTAAGACGACAAAGGATTATAACGTTGCACCGCTACAGTGGCTTACACGAGCGTTGTCTTTTCAAGCGGTACGCCACTATAGCGGTTCATTCGGTCCTTCGCACATGCAATGAATAAATAGCAGAGGTACCTCATGCAATGTTTAATTTTTGAAACACCGATTTACAGCTATATTGGTCTTTATTTCTTACAATCGACCGTCCGCCGATCCGAAGAGAAATATTTCTCTTCAGAGAATTCTGAGAGAATTCAGAGAATATCTCTTCAGAGAAATATTTCTTTCTGCGAAATATTTCTCCTATTTTCACGGTTCCACAGATGTAGGAAGGTTGAAGAACGCTGCACTTTCGTTCACCCAGACCCAAATAACCGTAACTGCCGGACCCTAGGCGGCCCATTTTGTCGTTACACGTGGCATCGCTGGCCACCGATCGGATCACGCACGAGTCCCAACACGGCTAACCGCAATCACCGTTGAATTTCCAGTACTACGCACCGGCAAACGCGATTGGCAATACCGAGGGCGACCAGGTACACAGCAATACGCATACCCAGGTGTAAACTACCTGGATTCGCCAGGCGAGTCGCCCGTCATCTCCCTGCCCACACCGCCGCCGCCGCCTACGATGGCGGCCCTGCCGCCACCTCCACCGCCACCCAGAAGACCGCGAAGAAGCGTCACGTTCGCGGAATCGCCGCCGAAGAGCCCGAAGAGGATCAAGTTCTCGCCGTTCCAGCGTCGGCCGAGCAACATGATGCTAGACATCGCGGTGCCGTGGACACCGGCGTCACCTCGGGTCTGGACCGGCCGTATCGGCGACGACAAGCCAGAATACGTAATCTAAAAAGAATAAACGACACCGCACGAAACCATAGCAACCTCCGTTCCGGTGTGGTCCGCGTCGGGAGCGACACTCTCGCCGGACGAGCAACCGGCGATCCTCGATCCGCAACCCCGAGCAACGCGTTTGCCGATAGTCGAATCTCCGCGACTCGCCGTTTTCTCGACGCTTCCGGTGTGTCTCGAGACCTGTAAATAACATTCGAATCGGACCAAATAGTTCCAGCTGTTCGAGTATTGTCGGACGTTCTCGTTTCGGCTGCTCGGTGGATCTACAATACGTGAAAAAAGTACTCGCCATTTGGAAAGTAACGCGCAAACCGCGTGCTTAATTATACGAGAATTTGTTTTGTCGCGTTCAAAATCGTACCGGTTCGAGGCTTCGAACATTCTTCGAACGCTGAAAAAAGAAGGCAAAACCTTTGACACCTTCTGCGAATTCGAACTTATGGCTTCAATCGACTTTTAACACCTTAACCGAACTTGTAATTTCAGTTTAATAAGAAATAGGAAAATGGGTATATCTGGTGAATATGTTGCGTAATTGATAAAGTTCGCTCAGTTTTCTTTGCCACAACTTCGCGTACAAAATCGACGAATTGTGTTCGCACAAGCTTGGCCGCTTCCTGCAATTATTTCATAACGCTCAAATGATGTTCTTCATTGACTGTTCAGTCGGAGGGGATCCCGAGAGAACGGGCCCACGATAATCGAAGAAAACAGTGAGCATGACCTCGTTTTTGAGCGACTTCGACGCAACATTTTGTTCGTTTTCGTCCGCTCCCGAAGCAATATTCCACAGACTAATGACTCGTTTGCATGTCGTGCTTATAAAACCACGTTTCATCGTCAGTTATGATGCGTTTCATGAACGTCGAGTCACTAACCAGCCACGAACGTACTACAGTCGCTACGAAACCGGCATAGGAAATTACGTTAGAAACGTGAAAATTGAGACAAATTCGTTGCTCGACCGCTTTCCTATCAAAGTATCGTGACCATCGTAAAAATCGCAGAACACACTCGAGGTCGACTGACGTAAACAGCTGCCGCAAGCACAATGGTCGATGGATCGTAATCGAATCGTAATACGATCGTGATCAGAACCGAGTATATATCGGTGCTTACTTACGAGCAAAAATAATATTTCTATACATGCACCGCGCGGTGCAGGTTGGAATGCAAAATTTCGGGTACTTTTTTAACGTAATGTAAATCATCCTCGGTAGCATGTTCTCTCGCTGTGAAGCGTTCTCGAGCTCGTCGAGAAAGTGAAGAAGATCGAAATGACATCGAAACAAGCTTCCCGTTTGATATTCGAATGGCTAGAAGTACTTCGTCTCATTCGTTAGTTCAAGCAGTTCGAGTTCGAAAGCAACTGCAGTTCGATGGAACTGAACCGCAGTTCGAAGCGACTCGAGCAGCTCGGACGTTTGAATGTTTGCGGCGCTTAGACAGAGAACAGAATCAAACGAAGGGAAAATGAAAAAGGGGAGAGATTCAGTTTCTTCTTAAAAAAAAAGTTCCTCCGTGCCCGAGTTGTGCTTGCGCTCGAGAAACGAAAGCGAATCATCGATTGGTTCGGGCTCGAGCATGGCGCCGCGATCGATCGAATCTTTTGTTTCATTCGACGAGTAATCTTTGGACGCTGGAGGCCCGAGAATTCGTTTGGACGTATAAAGAGACGTGTCACGGCTGATTAGCGAGGACCGTGTTGGCTCGATGCATCGGTCTCGGCCGGTTGGACGGCCGACAGTCCCTGCTACCAGCCGGATTTGTACATTGTATATAATCGTAATCGAATCAAACGAGAACGAATCAAAAGCAGACGAAGCACAGACGACGAAACCGGTCGCGACATTCGATAGTAGAATCCGATGGTCCTGGGGCAGGTGCATGTGCAACCAGCAGCACGAACGACATACTATAACTGCCATTTTCCGTGAAGAACGAAATCACCCGTACTGCACCAGCGAGGCACATCAACACGAACACACGTACACGCGAACACGTACACGTATACGTACAAGTACACGCACTCGAACGAACACAGACGTACATGCTATATAAATATATATACATAAATATACATATTTAACGAGGGAAGATACACGTCGGCCGGAAACGAAACCGAAGAAAGAACCGCGGGAGGAAGAAACGGGTGTACGATGAAGAGATTCTGATCGAAGGGACATGCTACATGTTACGCCAAATGTTGGGGACACTAGCTCGAGCCGAGGAGAAAAATGGGTCGATCGTGACGATAACACTACTATAAACGATTACCATTATTCCGATTACTATTATTGCTAGGTTTTATTATGGAATCACGGTTGGTTACGATGATATATCGTTGTACACCGGTGCAATTATTTTGTCGATCCCGTGAACAAAAAAAGAAAATGGTATCCTCGTCGCGCGAAAGGTGAGAAAATGGGAAATCCTTGCACGCTGGAACCGCGCGAATACGTTTTTTAACTGACAATGGTGTGTAATCGCGTCGATGCGTGAGTACTGCGTGTGTGATAAATAATATATGAATATATACATATATACACGAACGTATATGTATATACATACAAATATAAATATAAATATAAATAAAAATATAAATATAAATATAAATATAAATATAAATATAAGTATAAATATAAATATAAATATAAATACAAATATAAATATTAATATAAATATAAATATAAATATAAATATAAATATAAATATAAATATAAATATAAATATAAATATAAATATAAATATAAATATAAATATAAATATAAATAAATATAAATATAAATATAAATATAAATATAAATATACATACGTATAGACGTTTATTGAAGGATGTACGGTGTGAAAGTTGCGTGCCGGGTGTTTGAGGAACGCATGAGTATAGGATTAATCGTGTAAACGTATTGTTAAGTACCTATCACTGCCAGTTCGCGCCGATCCGATATATCCGAACCGAGAGAGGGCGAAGGAACTCCGTTTCTTGTCGCAACGACACACACTTTTTACACTTTGCTGTTCTATGGGTCTACCCTTTGCGTCGTCGGATCGCCGTGATCTGGCCCGATGAACGACGTTTACGGCCAACGTTCTTCGTGCCAAAAGACGATATCTCTCTCTCTCTCGATGATGACATCCGATGCTACGTCACGTCCGACGCCGCGTCGCTTCCGCGGCGAACAAGATTAGGGTACCGCGATATTGAAAAAAAAAGGAACGGGCGAACGGTTTCTTTTTTGCACTTTGGATACATATTCGAGTATTCGCGGAGGAGGGATACGGTGTGTTCGACGATCGATTCGCGAGCGATTCGTCGAACGACCGAGATCGAGTAGACTGGAAATTCTGTCGAGTATGGAAAGTATATGCAAGTCTTTAATAAATATGTAACAGGAGAAGTAACTGGGTGTATGTGATATTCATTGACGATTCCTACTTAGCGTTGCTGTTGTTTTCGTTTTCATTTCTCAAGTTTACGTGTGCGATTGGGCTCGAAGAAGGTTCGTGGAGCTGAAGGTCGAGCTTTTGTTGCAATTTGAGAGGCAAACGGGTGCTAGACGAAAAAGATAGAACGGTATAAAGGCAAGAAACAGGTAAAACGAATTAGAAGGGTTCAAGAATTACCGTTACAAATTCACATACGTGTGATAATAATATTAATAATGAGTACGAAAATTTGTGTCGAGAATTTTTATTGTCAGCTACCGCGGAGGAAAAGTGAGAAACGTTTAACACTTTGGTTACTATCACTTTGGTTAATATCTAGACTTTTTAAAGTCGACGATCGATAGTTGAGAATTTCTCAAAAAGATGTTCAAAAACGACAATAATTTCAGCCATAATCCAACAGATTATTTGGATTCTTACAATGCGACTACTTTTCTTGAAAGAAATATTCGAAATATAATTATTAAGCTTGTTTAAAACGTAATTCGATCGTTAGGAAGTCTCCTAATTGGCCGCCAATAGATAATGCGATAAATGCATATGAAATAAGAGGAAAATGATGTAGATAATTCTGCAGAATCTATTGTTGCATACAACATGCATCTGGAGAAACAGTGTAATAGAATTTCGTTAATAATTTCACAGTTGAAAAGAAAAGTTCTTGAGATTTGACAATATTTGTTGTTTAGGATTGGAGGAAAATAATATACTCCAACTAGAATACATTCTTTTCAAAACGTACATTATTTATAAAGATGGCAAATATAATAAGAATTCTATAGTTCTAAATTATATGAAACTCTTTGGAATTCATCGTGTATCTTATACTCACGCTTTTGTATGCATGATATAATTAATTTTAGTCGTAAGCATAAGCTGGATACTTTTTCCACAAAATGAGCTATTAATCAAAATTATAGATCACAAGATAAAGTGAAATAGTCGTTCGATTATTTAGAAGACATCGTTTGCGGTGACAATAATGTGGCTATAAAACTGATTCAATACAAGTATGATAGTAACAACAACAAAATTTATAAATCTTAAAGGTATACACATCTGGAAAGTAAATGAAAAATAATCAAGAATCAAAAAGTATTTTATTACAATCAAAATAAAAATGTAATGAAATACTAATCAGTATTAGTACATGTCAATAGTTCTTATAACAGTGGACGAAAAACATAATAGAAATCGAGATGAATAGCAATTAAAACTGAATTACTTTCAAAAATTCTATAAATTATTATATTTTTCATTCTCTAAATCTATACACTTCGTGAACCTAATTTTATATTTCACAATAAGTAAAAATAATACGTAAAGTCAGTTTTGGGCTATCAAAACGCCATAATTCATGCACTCTTTTACAATCTACACAGAACTAGCTTCTATATTAATACTTACGCAATCATATATCCTGCCTTATTAACACTAAACCTATCGCGGTCAAAGTGACCGCTTTCTTATTTTGCAATTCTGAAAAGTTCCGAGACTCTTTCGCGGAAAACGCTCGAATAAGTTATATTATCGGAGCAAGTTTTATAATAAAAACTTTACAAATTCTAAATAAATTCGGCCTTCTCACTCTTGTGAAGCAGTGCATGCCAGTTAGTATTACTGCTTAATAGGTTTAGTGTTAACAACAGTATAATTTCATCGTCCATAACGATTCGACTGTGGATTTTTATGCATAACAAAAATGATCGTAATCAATGGCGAAAGAGCAAGAAGCGTAATAAAACCGTGTTTTCTCGTTGAATAATTTTGATCAGTCGAGCAAAACGTAAGAACACTGTTCGATTCTTCCGATGTCTTCGACAGTTGTTACTTCACCTAGTCAATTTCGTATTAAATGCAAAAAATCCGCAGTCCGTTGATAATTCAATATTCGAGCGCGTGTAAAAGATCAGTGTCTCTCCGACACTGTACAAACGTCTTTCCTGCTTTACAGAGAAATTCAAAGAAACATCGATCAAAAAACCGGATATCGTCGTAGCATCGATCGCGTCGGTGAGAGAAGGAATCGCAGAGCCAAATTGGGTGTTGCGACGTATAAAACTATTTTTCTGAGATACGCCGATTAGTTGTTCAGATTCAGCTTCAGTTAACGTTCGTTTACCGAACGTACTGCCAATGCCGATTTTACCGAAATCATTGCCAAACAACCGATGAAACAAAACACACATTCATATCCCTCAGTTTCGTGTACGGTCTCTCCATTCGCGGATCCCGATTTCGCGATCGTTCGATCCGAAATTTCGCTCTGGCGGGGTAGATCGAACGATCGACCAGTAATAAGGAAGTGGGTGAGCTATGGTGAGGGAGGGGGGAGGGTGTTATTGAAACGATACAAGTTTTATACGTGGCAGCGACGAGACCGATCTTACCTATCATATCGCCAGATTTCTCTTATTACGATTAATTGTTATCTATCACCGGTTACTAACGATAGATACCGCGTATTATCGGGTATTAAGTCGTTGAAAACGGTACACGGTAAAACGATACACGTGGCGCGTAATCGCGAGCCGGTAAAATAAGCTCGATTCATCCTGATCGAAGGATCGCACGTTCTCACGAATGCGTTCACCCACAGTGTGATTCACTAGAAAAGATTGGATCTACCAACGAGTAATCCACTCTCTCTGTTCAATAGACTAGCAACGTATCGTTTGGATTGAATTCTGCCGATTCAATTTTGTCGATTTGCGGTAAACACGAAATCCTGAGAACCATGGGTACGGTTATAACGAATGGACGTCCGAACCAAGAAATGAAATGCCGAACGAAGAAATTCCTTTTAGATTTGGTCAAATGTAATCTGATGAATGACTTACGATTACGACCAATGTGAAATCATGTTCATGATTAATGATTACGATTAACTGAGTAATCAAGTAATCGTGGTTAATGAATAGCTTAAGTAAACAAAGTAAACGCGATAATTGACATAGTAATCATTAATCATGTAATGATTACTTTTTTCATTATGATTAACTGAAAATTTGGTATTATGTGGTATTATGGTTGATAATAATTCTGAATAGTTTTTTAGAAAATCTGCGAGTATTCTTTTTATTTGGACATCTTATTCGGACTCGATAATAAGCGACGAGAAAAGATAAGTTAATCATTCGTCCACGGTTACGGATACTGATTAATGATTACAGATTACATAATCAACAGTTTCAAACGAATAACGAAAAACTCATAAATCTCGCATTTTCTGAAAATAGCTATGAGTAACGAATACAATCAATGATAGGAAATTTTCATTTTGGAGATATGAATATTCAAGAAACTTATTCCATTAATAAAAAAATTACATTTACCCCGTCTCATTCTGTTATTTCGAACAAAAATATGTAATAAAACATTGTCAGAAAAGTAGTAATAATCATTTTGTACAGAATACGTGATCTATGTGCGACCGTACCCTATGAGCGAATGTAACACATGCATTTAATGTGTACACAATGTATGCATGTATTTAATTGTCATCGATCGGAACGACGGATTTAACAAGGAACGGTAGATTATTCATTGGTACGTCTAATGTGTAGCGCGTTCCGCTTCTGCAACGTGACCGAAGGAAAACAAGAAATCGAAAGTGACTCGATGATCTCCAACGAAACAAGAGATCGAAGCGACGAAGCCTGAATGTTTGTTCAAATCTCGCGCCAAAAGTGTTGGAACGCGACGGCATCTTTGTTCCCTCCCGTCGTTGTCGTTAACGTTTCCGTGTTGATGTTCGTTGTGACTTTTTTCTATCCTCGAATTGCCCGACGACGAACGAGCCAGCTCGCGTCCGAAGTAAATGAAAAGAAAAAACGATAAAAAAAAGAAGGAGAAGAAAAAAGACGTAAAAAAAGGTTATATACACGAACGATGTGACAATTCCCGCATACCGTCCCGGCGTCGTTGCGAACACAGTTCAGAAGACTGCACCCGTTTCCAACTGTTCTCGATTACACCTTGCATTCTTCGTTTTTGTAAGCGGAACTCATCGAAAAAAAAAAGGAAAAGGCAGAAACGATATCGAGCGATCGATGATATAGCGTGTGCGTGTAAATACTCTCTCCATGAACGATTTCAGCACTGCGACGATCGTATTCATAA